ACTACTAAAATAACAGTGAATACCGACCTAAAAATTTCCGACCTCAAATGGAGGTCGGTAATTTTCGACCTTCGGAGGTCGGTATTTACAAGTAGTCGGTTTTTATGCAAAATAAAGCGGGAAAACCAAATTCCGACCTCTGGAGGTAGGAATTTTTCCCGGAAAAAATGAATTACAATAAAAACCGACCTCTTGATGTCGGTATTAAATTATTTTTTCTCAATAGGTTTTGTGTAAAATAAAATACTTGTAATTCATTAAAAATTCCGACCTCAGGAGGTCGGAATTTTTTATCAATTAAATATTTTATAATTCCGACTTCCAAATGTCGGTAGTATGTAATTAAAATACCGACCTCATGAGGTCGGTATTTGACCTCATGAGGTCAGTATTTAATACCGACATCAAGAGGTCGGTTTTTATTGTAATTCATTTGCTGGGAAAAATTTCGACCTCCTGAGGTCGGAATTTTTTCTCAATTATGTGTAAAATTATAATACCGACTTCCGAATGTCAGTAAAATTAGATAGTATGTAATTAAAATACCGACCTCATGAGGTCGGTATTTTTATTTCATCTAATTACTATTAATTAAAGCGACATTCGGAGGTCGGTATTTTATTTCATCTAATTACTTTTAAAAGCGACATCCGGAGGTCGGTTTGTTTAAAATATTCATTTTACACCTATAATTAATTGTACGTTGATAAAAGCGAAAACCAAATTCCGACCTCAGGAAGTCGGAATTTTTCCCAGAAAATGAATTACAATAAAAACCGACCTCTTGATGTCGGTATTATTTTCTATTTTGATTTTATTTTATTTAAATCGTCTTCCGGGGGACGATTTTGTGTAAAATAAAAAACAAATACCAACTTTCGGAAGTCGGTAAAATTAAATAGTATGTAATAAATTAATATTTTCAATTAACTTTAAATAAATCGTCCTCCGAATGACAGTTTTATACAAGTTAAAAAATAATTTAGTATAAAATACCAACCCCCCGATGTCAATATTATTTAATTAAAATTTAATGTGATACCGACCTCATGACGTCGGTATTTTTTATTAAATCTAATTACTTTTAATAAAAGCAATATCCAGAGGTCGGTTTGTTTAAAATATTCCTATTAATAATCATAATTTTGCTATTGTGCATAATACTAAAATTTAATTTTACACCTTACAATTAATTGTTCAAAAAGTGTAACAATTTTTGTATACTTTTATAAATAAAAAGTTAGAATTCGTGGAATAAATAAAAAAATATACTATAATACATATTTAGAGTATGAAACTACGTTGATATGAATTAGGAGATAATTATATATACTTGTATTTCTAGAGTAATGTACTAATTCTATCACTCCGTCGTCTAATCATGAACTTAATATCTCATGTCATGATGTAGAGGTGAAGAGCTAACATATAATCAATTCGAGTATGAAATGCGAGATAGTATTATTATACACGTTCGATCTAATTGAATGGATGTCAAGTGTAGTTATCACCTCCTAATTATGATGACATGTAAACGATACTTTATCG